GAGGCAACATTATATGTTAAAGGCAGGGGAACCTCAGATCTGGTCATAGTATCTATCTATGTGGATGATATAGTTTATACAGGGAATTCTCAAGAACTAATGCAAGATTTCAAGACTGATATGATGCAGAGGTATGAGATGACAGATTTGGGTTTGCTACATCACTTTCTAGGAATGGGAATTATCCAAAGTGAAAACTCCATTTTCATACACCAGAAGAAATATGCTTCCACACTTTTGAAAAGGTTTGGTCTGCAGGATTGTAAACCGGTTGGTATTCCTCTTGTACCAGCTGATAAATTGAAGAGAGATGATGAAAGTGGAGCTGCAAATGAAGCTGAATACAGAAAACTAGTGGGAAGTCTACTCTACCTCACTGCAACTAGACCAGATATAATGTATGCTGCTTGTCTGTTGGCTAGATTTATGCATTCCCCCACAAATAAACATTATGGAACTGCCAAGAGGGTACTAAGGTATGTTCAGGGTACACTTGACTTTGGTTTGGAATATAAGAAAGGAGAAGGATCAGTTTTGGTAGGCTTCTGTGACAGTGATTGGTCTGGATCAGAAGATGATATGAAGAGTACATCGGGATATGCCTTTACATTCGGTAGTGGAGTATTCTCTTGGGCATCCGTGAAGCAACAATGTGTTGCTCTATCCACAGCTGAAGCAGAATATGTGAGTGCATCAGAGGCAACTGCACAAGCTACTTGGTTACGGTTTGTGTTAGAAGATTTTGGTGAAATGCAGACTGTGGCAACACCCCTAAACTGTGATAACACCTCAGCCATTGCTATCACCAAGAATCCAATCTTTCATCAGAAAACCAAACACATAAACCGAAGGTATCACTACATCAAAGAAGCTCTACAACAGGGTGTAATCAACTTGATTCATTGTCCTACAAAGGAGCAAGTAGCTGACATCTTCACTAAGGCTTTGGCAAGAGAACAATTCTCTTATCTCAGAGAATTGCTTGGGGTGAAATCAGTTCACAATTTGAAGGGGAGTGTTAATGTGCAAAATGGTAAACTGATTTAGTATGTAATTTCTGGTTTAGTGTTATACTTAGCTCATAGGCTAAGCTGTCTATAATAGTCAAACGGTTTGTTAAGTCTCATAGGACTTGACTGGACAGGTGTCATAATCTTACTAATAGTGTAGTTGGATGGTTGAGATTGAAGCTAGGATTTGTCTAGCTCTCTCTCTCTCTTCTAACAGTAATATGAG